GCACGCAGGGGCAACTTCTGCGGGCAAACAGTAGTTACGCGGGCGGTGGGGGGGGGCATAAATGGCATTGATAGTGGGACTGGCATGTCTGGAGGCATGGGCAGCTATGCGATATCTTATTTGGTTTAAAAAAAGTTTGAATTTGGTTTCGAACTGTGTTCTAATCGGATTAGAATTCAAACATATTTGAACTAATTTCAAATGCTTCGACTTTGATGATAAGTTTGCGTATGTAAGTGGTTAGCCCTCCTTGACGGTAGTCTCATCCGAAAATAACTTTCAAACATATTTTTTTGATGAAAACACTTCTTCAATTAATTACACATATTATGAATCATACAAAATCAAACTCTCCTTAATTCATTGCACTTTTTTCTTAAATACAATTACAATGCAATTCATTTTAATGTTGTGGTGGCCTTTGTATGTGTGTGAGAGAAAGCATATGATGACTCTTGCTCTAATTTTGAAAACTTCCATAATTAATTGAATATTCATGTGAGCTCTTAATTTTGTGAACTTATATATACTCAAAACAGCAATCTCAATAAAGGTTTGCAATATCATTGAAATCATGCAACTTTTTGTGCTCATATGGGGCTTAAATTATATAAATCAAACTAATTTATTGAGGTGATATGTGCACTTCACTTCTCTTTGCAATGTGCAATTCAATGTAGGATGTAGCTATATGACCACAATAAGATTAGCCAATTTGATGGTCGGTTGCGCACATCTAATTTTCAAAAGCTTTAGAAGCTTTAATAGTGCATGTTAAGAATAGAAAATTATGATTTTACTATATTAGCATGCATTACAAAGACTCGTCGGCAATAGCGGGGATGATAAATCTAAATTGAGTTAAAAAAATAATAATAGATTTGAGAATTAAAAATAATGAATAACCTAATATATGATATCACTTATAGGTGCTCTTAAAATTAAAAAAAACAACAAGTTCAGGTGACTAGCTAGAGACAAGAGATTGGTCTTTCATATATAAAATCTTTAATTTTCCCCATCAAAAGGAATACTATTGTGCAAAGATTTTACATACAAAAAAAATAGTGGAAAGGATCTCAGTATAAACATGATTAGAATTTCAAAACTGTTAAATATTAAGTGGGATTTTTTTTCATGCTAGATATACAAAGGACATTAATTAAGAATAAATTGTGAGATGTAAAGGCTAAAGAGGCATGGAAACAGAGTGGGGTATGAGTAAACTCATGCCTTATCCAATCATAACAGTATTAGGACCATTACATAGAGTGTGATGCAGAAGATTAGTTAAGTATTAGTGTTCTATTTAGAAGCACCTTTGTCTATCGACAATATGGGAGCGATTAAAGTGTTTTTGGCAACATATTAAGCACTTGGTAACTTCGATATAAGTGGATAGGACACCTAAGAGTTATTTATTGACTAGCAAAAATTGGTGGTGGATTGAGAGGTCACTAGTTAAATAATAAGACACCACTTGATTATGTGATTATAAATGATGTATGTTTAACAATAATGAAAATAAATGTGTAAATATTGATAATCATTAAAATAACTTAATTTTGTGGTGACTAAGATCATGTGATCTGATTATGATGGAATGCCCAATTATTTGATGTAAGAGGTTATAAGGTAATTGAGAAGGGTAAATAGAGGGACCCAACAAGATGTACATGGAAGAGACAACTAAGAGCAAATTGTTGGCGAGCAAAAATTGATGGTGGATTGAGAGACAAAAATCTAAAAATGGAACATCATTTGATCATGTGACCCTAAATGTTTCCAACTTGACAATAAACAGGATAATTATGATGAGTTGGACAATAATTATATATAAAGAATAGTTTCGTGGGGTATGAGAGCATATGAAGTTGGTCGTTGTGACAAATACCACTGTTTGTTGTGGGTGGCTTTACAATGATAGAAGTGGATAGAAAGGGATCTAAGGAGACATGGGATTGCATGGTATTGGTTCAGAATCATGTTTTATATGGTCAAATGATGTTTGAAACTATGTTATTTTTAGATGAAGAAAATAACATAGGGCTTAGAGTTAACATAGGAGGCTGTTGGGGCAAGTTTTCAAATTGATGACGAAGGTAAGGGTTGATGGGTTTGTATGTGGTGATAGATTCTTGTTATGAGAGTGGTGTTAGATGTGTTTGAAGGGTTGAGATCAAGAGTTGATGGATGGGTTTGAAGGCGAATGCATATATAACAAGAGAGCCACATATATGAAGTAGATGTTGTTGGTTCACACCAAAGAGGTGGATGGTGGTGGTGGTAAGGAGGTACACTTACAAGGAGGGAGTACACATGCAAGATAGTTTGATATAAAGTGCATAACACTGAGATCGATATTGATACACAATATCTTACGTGATCACATTGAGATGCTTAAAGTGACAGTATTGCATGTATGGCAAGGCTTATGAGAGGCTAGGAAACAAAGCAAGAGGCAATTACTCAATGCTTTGGGGTTATGCAGGAAAGAGAAGGTAGGGAGATATGCATTATGAAGAGGAGAGAGACAAATAGAGAATATGAATCGAAAATATATAATAAGAAGAGGTGGATCAAATTAAAGCTCTAATTTGATGTTAGAGTTTCAAATAATGACTATATCATTTTAATAATATACCAAAAATAAAAATATTTGAGCAATATTGTATAAAGAAAATATCTTAATTTTAAATGTTATAAAAAAGGCAGAAAATAAATAAATACACAAGAGATTAAAATAGAAAATTAACTTATCATAATAATTATTTATTTATTCTTTTTTTATTCAATATTAGCATTCAGTCCCTTAAATGCTCATGCATAATTAGATCCATTGATAGTTTTTTTTTTTTTTTTCTCTTCACACCCAATCATGATATATCTTATCATGAATAGACACAAGCAATTGGTTTGATAATATCATATACAATGCAATCATATAAGTCGCTATTACAGATACTGACAAAAAATGTTTGGCAAATGTTTTGAAATATTGGATAAGATAAAAAATACAGTAAATCTCTTTTTTAAAATATTTATATATATGTAAAAATATGCTGATATATTTTACATCAAGATGAATTTTAATATTTTAAATTTGCATTAAAATTTGTTAAAAATAAGAATAAAAATAAAAAAGGTGAAATACTCATATGCAAAATATAAATTCTTTTATACCAGCTTCTTATTGTATATTTATATCATAAATTCATTAAAAGATGAAAATCATAACATTAGGTGATGCTTCTATTAAATAAGACTCCATTTATGATAATTTTCTTATTGTTTTTTTTTTTTTTCAAACCGTAATTATAATTTCCTTGTAGCCACTAATTTTTATTGTTTTAAAAAAACTTTATGTTGTAGAAAATACATTCTCTACAATAGCTTAAAAAAATACATTCTCTACAATATCTTTACAAAATAATTACCGCTTTTAAAGAAGTTTCTAGTATAAAAAATTATAGAAAATAATAAAAAAATAGTAGTCGAAAGCTGCCTCAAAGAGCCTAAGCTTCAAATGTATTTCATTACTAAAGAAGCAGCCAACTGTTGAATGTATACCAAGGTATTACTACAAATACTAGAAAATTTCTAAGTAAATGCGACTAATAAGTATTCAGAAATAAAGCAGCGTATTATTGTAACAGAAAAAAAGGAAAATAAGCAGAACCTCCTGCTAGGGCTGCAAACGAACCGAGCCGAGCTGAGTATATGAGTGTTCATGTTTGTGTTAATTTAATATTAGCTTGTTCAAGTTTGGTTCATGTTTGTTCGAACTTTATTGTTTGTGTTCATGTTTGATTCATTTAAATTAATGAGTATTCATGTTCGGTTCATGTTCGTTCGTTTAATACTTATCGAGCTTTAAACAAACAAACAAACATGAACGAGCTATAAATGAACTCTACTTTTAAATGTTCATTAACTTAACAAACGAGCTTTATCGAGCTTCATAACAAATGATTACATTGAGCATGTTCGTGAACATATCTAACGAATTTTTTTAACTATCAAACAAATACTTTCATGAACATATATATATGAACAAACACATTTATAATAAAAACAATTGTCTATGAACATAAAAGTAGCATTAATAAAGGCAATAATTTATAAATAAATAGCCATATCGAGCTTTTATCGAGCTTAATGTCGAGCTTGTTCACGAACTTCAAATGATATTGTTCGCGAACATAAATGAGCCGAACGCATTAGTGTTCAAGCTTGTTTATTTAATAATCGAGTATTTAAAATATTGTTCAAGTTTGTTTGTTTAGTTAATTAAACGATTACGGACGAGCTTTAATCGAACCGAACATCGAGTAGCTCGTCGAACGTTTGGTTCGCTTGCAGCCCTACCTCTTGCTTCAATTTTTAAAGCAGAATTTTTTATATTAAAAAAACAACAAAAAAAATCTGTCCCAACTAAGTCTATTTTTCATCCATATATTTTTTGTTTTTTAAAGTCCACTTGCTTCGTATTAAGCTCTTTCTTCTATAAAAAAGATCGCAATAATTCTAATGTCAATTTCATATCAGATCAAGCGTGGGTTGCATGTTAGATCGACCGGAATTTACACTGGCCTAAAAACAGTACTTCCACGTCACAAAAAAAAAAAAAATCAGATCAAACTGAAATTTCGGAGTCTCATTCTCAATTATTTCTCCAAGCCTAAATATTAATTGAGTTCCGCCCAGCACTGAGTCAAGATATATAAATTTAAAAAGTTCAAGCCCCTAAAAGTAATAATATGTGCTGAAAGTGGGACCCATCTACTAAAAAAATTAATTTTTTATTAAAACGAAGTCCTCGTCACTTTTCCCAACTGCCCACTCGATTTTCAAGACCACTTTTTATTTTCCAGCTCACGGTAACAACTGTATTAATTAATTTATTAAACATTATTAATATCTAAAATTTAATTGCTTACTTATTCATTAATAAATAAGCTTAGAAATTAAATTGATTCTCCTCTCTCAGTCTCTCTCTCTCTATCTCCTCTGGTTTTTTTTTTTTTTTCCTGAAAAGTTCTAAATCGCAACAACAACACTTATCTCAAGTATCGAATCCTAAACCTCAAGATTAGGGCAAAGCCCTCTGCATTGTTCCTTGCTTGTTAGCACTAAAAGGTTCAGCTTAGTAACCGAATATTTGCTAAAGTTAACAGTGCACAGAGACTTTCTATAGTTTCTCTTCGCTATTCCGCGGTCTCTACCTCGCGTTCTCTAGCTAGCTGGCTCCCTACTTCCGCTGTTTTCTAATTTATTTATTTTTCCTTCCTATGATCCTGCCGACACTGTTAATTGCATGGCTTGAGAGAAGAGAAGGAAGGTGAGAGAGAGTGTTCCACATGGAAACCGCAATGTTTGTGATCTCTTCTCTTCTCTTTCTGTCAGCTAACTCTGTCCAATCTACTACGAACCCTTCAGATGGTAATTTGTTTTAGTTCTATTTAATTCACTTACTCAAAGATCAGATTTTTTTAAACTTACCCATTGCATGCGTCGCTTTCGTTGATGAAAGATCTCTTTTTTCGCGATTAAGCTCATTGTTTTGGGAACTTAGTCATCAATGGGTGTTACAAAAGTTTAAAATTTGAGTCTTGTTCTCCGTTTCGATCTTCATTGCGAACTTTTGTCAGGTTTTTTATACTCTACAGGTTCAAAGGACTAAATAGTTTTTCCAATGTTGCAGTTTCTTAGCAGTTTATTTATTTATTGTTTGCAGTTGAAGTTCTTGTGTTGCTTTATAGCACTTTGAACAGCCCTCCTCAGCTTACTGGATGGAAATCAATCGGAGGTGATCCGTGTGAAGAATCATGGAGAGGGATCTCCTGCTCTGGCTCAGATGTTATTTCCATGTATACATTTTCCATTGAATTTGATTTTTTTTTTCCTTTCGTTGATTTCCTTTGTTCTTATAAGATAGATCATGTTTAAACTCTTATTATGTTGTGACAGCGAGCTTGCAGGTTTGGGACTTGGTGGCACTCTTGGATACCTCCTCTCCAATCTCTTATCCTTGAAGACATTGTGAGACAACTCTTTAACTTTTTGTTATTTGGTTCTTTGTATATTGTGAATTTTTGTTTTCTTAACTCCGATTTTTTTTCTTCTGATAGGGATGTGAGCAACAATAATATACGCGAATATATCCCTTTTCAACTACCTCCAAATCTTACTTACTTGTATGTGTAGTCTATTGTTGGTTATAAGTTTGAAGCCAGATTTTTGCAATTCATGATAAGAAGATAGAGTTCATTGAATATTGCAGGAATCTTGCCAGCAACAATTTTAGTGGAAATCTTCCCTACTCAATAGCTAGCATGCTTTCCCTTGTTTACATGTAAGGTTTTGTTTTTCTTTTCCACATGTTTATTTTGTCTATAGGCTGGTAGCTTTGGTAAGCAATTATCTTTCAGAATGTATTGTGCAGGAATGTTAGCCATAATTTGTTGTCACAATCGATTGGAGATTTGTTTTCCTTTCTTCAAAATCTCTCTGACTTGTAAGCTCTCTGACCTGCTCAGAAACTTCTATAGCATGTTATTTACACTTAGAAACATATTTATGTCCTCAAATGTGCTGAATAAATGTGATTAAGTGTTCTGCTCTTGCGAGTTTCACTCTTATTTTCATGAATACTAAGGATTCGTGTTACTAAATAATTTTTATTTGCTTTTCTTTCTTCTATTTTTTAGTTTTTTTTTATGTTTTCTAAATTTCTTAGTTTTGGATCCGTCATTCATTGTTGATCTTCACATCTCGGTCTACTATCTTATAGGATAATGTGGTTTTGTTTCAGTTTTTTCTTATGATTTTGATCTATTATTTTACAATAATTATCATTTTTTCCTTACTTTAGAAATGCATTAAAAACTATACACATTTCTTTGGGTAAATCCCATTGGGTATTTAATCTAACTTGTCTTTAGCTATACACATTTTTTTGGGTAAAAAACTATGCACATTTCTTTAGCTAATGTTGACTATCCCATCATTATTCTTTTGAAAGATGTTTGAGAGGATCCTTTGAGATTTTTATGTGAGAAGTGCTTCCCAAAAATTCCAAGATGAAGTGGGAGGCCAAAAGAAGTTCATTTATGGTAAAGAAAAATAAACATTTGACACATGATTTTTCAAAGGAAGAATGTTTTGTCTGAAAATATGAGGATCCTCCAGGATCCCATAACAATATTTTCCAAATTAAGAATTGTAGATCATTGTTGTATTCTACCAACCAATCATGAACAGGTGCAAGGACGAACTATAAAATGAAAACCTATTAAGCTCAAGGAAAGATGTGTGCATTTGATGAAATTCTATATGAGATCATTGAGAAAGGGAATGACAGGAAGGGGATAGATGTTAAACGAGGATTTGATATGGAGATCTAGTTTATAGTCACTTGTTCTAGGTAGAGTGCAAGGATTGGGGGCCACATATTAGAAATAGGCAACTTCTTTACATTTGGGGAGTGTAGGTTTTGGATTGCTCAAGATGATAATAATATGTAACAACTTAAAATTGTTGAGGGTGAGGACTGATCATTGACCTCGAGGCTTGATAAGGAGTTATTCATGGCAAGTTTCCAAGATGAAAGTGGGTATAAATAAACTAAATCTCACATTAGAATAGTTGACAAATTTGTATAATTATATAAGAACTAGACCCAATTTGCAATGCTCATTTTGATGTAATGGTTGAAGTTTCATTGTAGAACTTAAAAGTTAAGCATGATTGTGCTAGACAACTGTTATGATTTGTGACCTCCAAGGATTTTGTACCAAGAAGGATAAAATTGTGTGATTTAAAAACAGACAATAACTCATAATTTGTGAGTTGGTTCGTTACAATTTGTATCAAAGCCAAACCCTCTTCTAGTACAATGTTTAACAACCTCAAAATATGAAAAAACATTTTAACATAAAAATTTTAATTTCTGTTTGAACTAGAGTGTTTCGGTGCTGTGCTTAATAGCATTGTGGCGCTAGGCTTGAGAATACAACGGCTCTAGAAATCGCCAATGCTACATTATAGGCTCTATTCTACAATAATTCTAGATTTAACATGCAGTGCTGCGGCACTTGGTTGAAACGTTGCGGTGCTAGAGCACTAATAATATATTTATATTTATTTTATTTTAAAATCCTAAGCACTAAAGTACCCAGCCACTTCCTAATTTTGTGTGGCTTGTCGTGGAAGGAAGAAGAAAAGGAAAGGGAGAAGAGGAGGACGAGGGAAGAAGAGCAAAGAGAAAGGGGACCTTTGGGCTTTTCTATCCGACATTTTTGTTAGGAAAGTTGTTATACTCATAGTAAGTAACCTTTACTCTGTATCTACTTTCAATGATTTTAAGTTTGATATATTTTCTCTCTCCTAAAATTGATAAAAAGCTTACATTTCCTATTTATGTGAACTTTCACCGCATAACTTTTGATATGTGATAGATGTATGTATGAACAATTTGAGTAGAATATTATTTAATTTCACCGGATAAAATGATAGTTATGATTTTATGAATATACTGCATATTTTAATATATTTTTTTGTATGTTATAAATTTAATAATTTTATATTGCATTTCATGCATTAACGAGAGATTGATACAATCGATACTTGATAAATGTAGTATTTGCATGTAAGCAAGAAGAGAGATTGATAAAATCAATATATAATAAATGTGACATTTGCATGTAAGCAAGGAAGATTAGCTGTCAACATAATTAATACGGGTTGGTTGTTAAAATATAATACTCTGCGTAGGAGGATAGGTCGACAGATTTTTCTTTAAGGATAGTTTGTGGTGTTATCTCGGTTGTGTCTCGTAACTGATGACCAAATTATACCGATAGAGGGTGACGACTCATAAATGATTATTGAAAGTCACATGTGAAAATAAATGATAAATAAAAATAAATAAAAAATAAGATAAGATTGACAGATGTATATATATGATAGATAACAAATGAAATATTGAAAATATCACATTAACGCTGGATGTCCTGCTTTGCTGAATCTTACATCAATACATGCATACACTAGTAGCATTGATAGATGAACCATATAACATTGATGTGTGTGTATAACATATGATATGGATATATACACTGGTAGCATATCATGGATAAGTAGGATAACATTGACGACTGTTGATTGACATGATATGATAAATAATACTGACTAATTGCTGATGACCTTTATTTTGAATTCTAAATTGTTATATGTCGGATTGATGTGAAATTAAAATGTCACTATGTTATTTAATATATATATATATATATCAGTTGTAGATATTGAAAACTTGTTGGGCTATAATGCTCATTATCTGATTTTTACATGATTTTAGGGAAAGGTAATGAAGCTCGAGGATGTGCTGTGTTCTGACATCCAATAATTTTTCTATTTTGTAGTCATCTGTTCATCGAGATAAGCTAGTTTATTGTATACCATGGTTAATGTATATGCGTCATTTTGGGCTTGTACTAGTTGTATATATTTGGATAAATATAAAGGAAATATTATTTCTTTTTCTATTGTTTATACTAAATTTGTAAATTTTGGTTAAATGGTTGTAAATATAAAAGATAAAAGAGACAATTCTTCCAATTTAGATTTTGAGGCGTGACATAATGTGTGGTTCAATGATGAAGAAAGAAGACGATGATTAGCCTATAACACCTTAAATTCGATAAGAGTCATCAAATAAGGATGGTGAGGATCATCGTGACAAAGACTTGGACAAGGAACTGGTACCAGACAATACCTTGCAGTTTGTGATTTAGGTGTTTACAGTTGATATCAGAGTGAAACCTCGTCCAGCATGCTGTGTTTCAAGGATGAACCAAGTAGAGATTGGTGGACCTGTGACATTTTACATTTAATGATGGCTAATGAGAGCGATGAGTGATGGAAGAGGCAAGATTGAACTAAATTCCACATCAAAAAAAGAGGAAAGTTTGCTGGACTATAGAAGCTAACGCCTATACCCAAAATGCTTGGAACAGTTGGGAGTTTTGTTTGTCCAAAGTTAAGTGTTCTCTTGCTAGAGCATTTCTGGAATGGGTTCTCCTAGGATTTTACACCTAAAAGGATTAAACTGTGAGATTCATCTTAGTGTCGGTTGGGTTCGGCCAAGCGGACAATATCTCACATTATATAGTTTGTGTTGTTACACAATAGTTGAATTCTATTACATTATTCTGCCATCTAATTTTAATAGCCAAGCGGCTAACTCTAGCTATTCATAATTAATCAAATGTGATGATAGTAGGCATTCTCATTTGCAATCATTCACTTGGGCCTACTCTACCATCTAATATGTGGATTTCTATATCATGGATTTTATGCTTTGCTGTGGACCCACTTTAGCAAATGCAAATAAGAAATAAAATAATGATATTTAAAAGCATCGGTAGCGTAAACCATATCATAATTTTTTTTTAAAATTATTTGATATGGAAATCAAATTTTTTTTGTGAAATTTAATAGTATATTAATATATCATGGTTATGCTTATGCTTAATTTTATAGCAAGCACTACTTATTATCTCTACTATTATAGCAATGTTATTGTGACTATATTTTACTATATTATACTTCAATTTCAATTCAGTACTATTAAAGGCTAAATGCTGCCTGAAGAATATTAAATTCAGGCTGTCTGTTGTTATCACAATCTTATGATCTAATACTAGCATAGTTTTGTAAGCGTGTTGCAGTATTTAATAGGATAAAAGCAAAACATCTAATGAAGAAGCTCCTTTAATGCTAGCATATTATGTTGTCCATAATACTCACATTTTCTAGTAAACATTTAACAATAATTGATTGGTAGGGATAACCATACTATTAAGTTTGAAAAATAAGAACTGTGGAATCACACATAAGCCTATAAGAACTGTTTGAGTTGTTGGAATTCTCTTGGGTGGGTGTGTTTCTACCTATTACTGTATTAAATTTGTTTGTGTTGCTCATGATTAGTCACCTATGTAATTACATATGCATGCCTAGAAAAGGTTGACCTCTATATTTTGATTGTCTTATTTGTTGTTTCTATTATGCTTTAGTTTGCTTCAAAAAGTATTTCAGTTTCTTGATAATAAATTTGGAGGTTAAGAGGGTACTTAAGATTCCATTTTTACCCTATGAAACTCATTATCTTCTCATCTGTGCTTGTACGCTCATCGGCAATGTGGCTGCAGAGACCTTTCCTTCAATAGCTTAAGCGGAGATCTTCCAAATTCTTTGGGTTTGCTATCAAACCTTTCTAGTCTGTAAGTTGGCTACATGATTATTAATTAGTTTCAGTATGTACACAAATTCCTTTCGCTAAGTGGCTTTTTTTCAGTTGTTTGCAAAATAATCAGCTGACTGGTTCAGTAAATGTTCTTTCCAATCTTGATTTAAATAATTTGTAAGTCAACCTGTCTCTTCTGTAACTATCTTTGTCTAGCTTTTAGTATATGTTTATCCATTTGCTTTTCCTTTCGAATAGAGACATTGCAAATAACCACTTCACTGGATGGCTACCCCAGGCTTTCCATAAAATTCGGAACCTCAGGTAATAGTTTATTCATCTTTCTTGTTTGCCATGACCAATTTAATTTTGTATAGATTTAACAAATTTGCATTAATTTTTGAACAGAATTGAAGGAAATTCCTTCGAGAATGTTCCTGCTCCTCCACCACCTCCCTATACCTCACCACCTCCTCTTGTGTCACATAATCATCACAATCATACTGAAGCACCAGCAAATGCACCAAAAGGTCATTATGGCCAGAATGCGAATTCTGGCAGAGGTAGTAGCAGTAGTAACACCAAAAGTTTGGCAGCAGGTGCGTTAACTGGCATAGTTGCTGGTTCAGTTGCCTTTGCTTCATGTGCAGTACTTGTTACTCTATTCTTCCTTTATAAGTCTAAGAAGAAGGGTAATGAGAACCAAAATAAGTTAAGGCACCTTGTGGGATCTCCTCCTGTTGGTGCAAATAAAGGTACAATTTTCTTTTATTTCTTATCCAATAATGGAAAGTTTTGTGTTGACTATTTCCTAGTTTTGAGAACTTTTTTGTCTTCAAAATGATTAGAATGACATTCAAAATTTACAGAAATAAAAAAGAGGGATTCATAAACCAGACCCCAAATAGTTGGGGATGAGGATAATAGTGGTGAAAATGATTAGAATATTTTGAACTTGTACAATTTTTTATGAATTTTATGATAATCTATGCTTCTTTAGTAAGATCATTTTCACTCGTATAAATTAGAAACCAAAGGGATTAAAAAAATTTTCTAGCACCCTAATAGTAAATATGTATAATAATTATTCTGAATTTTTTGAAGGTACAATACTTGGAGTTTATATTATACACGACTGAATGTTTTATGGAGCTGAACCCATTCCATGTTGCTATTTCAGTGGATGAATTAAAATATTTACACACAAAGCATGCGAAGTAGTAGACATTAGTTTCTTCAAGTTTTAACTGAGAAGGATTGTATCAATTTCTTTTAAGTGCTGCTGGCTGCTTTTCCACAGGAGAATGGCATCAATTTTCAGATTATATTTCTTCACATGTACCAACAGAGTGGAATTTTCGAACCAAAGAACCTGCATCTTCTAATGGACAATCAAGTTCTGTTCAACAATCTCTTGGTATTCGCCCTCTACATTGATTTCTGTTTTTGCAATTTCGTTTGACAATGATACCGTTCAATTTAATTCTAGGATTATTCTTTTCACTTTGATTGTTGAAAGCATTATGGTATTGGGTAATGATCTTAAATCATATTCTTTTGCAAAGGAAAAAAGAGTTTATTTATAAATTTGGTTGTTAAAACTTGTTCTTCTGTGTATTTTCAAACTTTTTCCTTGCTTGTTTTTTCTTTTTTGCATCAATGAGGGTGCATCATCTTACTTTACGAGACTTGAACCCTTAACTGCTTCCTTTAAGAACACAAACAAACCATTTAATTAGAAATCATTTTTTCCATCATAATTAGAAATACACCAACCAATGCGTTGAATGGTTTTACCATTGGCCTCCCAAACGAGGGCTTAAGATTTGAGTCACTTTTACCATTGGCCTCTCAAACGAGGGCTTAAGATTTGAGTCACTGCCAAAAAAAAAAAAAAATCAACTTTGGCTTTAAACCCTACAAATCCCCAAATGACTTCATTTTAGGAGAAATTATTCCGTGTGGATGCCGAACGCATGTAAAACCCGCAAAAAAAATGTCTTTTTAGACCTCACACGCTTTTCAATGTGTCGCGACGAGTTTTAAGTGAATTTTTCAAAGTCATCGGAATTCGACGCAATAAATTTTATAAAATAGTGCGCAAAATTTTGAGCGAAACGTTGTAGATAACCTATATCGAATTTTTTGTATTTTGGGAGTTAAAATTTTCGAAAAATTCTTAATGACAACTTTGTCCTTTATGTCATTTGAATAGAGAAGAGTTTAAGGGCTTTTATGAGAGAGTTCCACTCTAAATAGGGGACTGAATGTTTCGGTCCCCATTTCATTCTTGTGACCGAACCGAGCGGAGAAGGGGAGAAGGGGGTGCAGGTAAGAGCGGCGACGGGAAGCTTCGGGCGGTGATTTCCGGCAGCCGTTCGTGGAGGATCTTGCGGGGAAAACTTAGGGAAAGCTAAGGTAAGTGATTTCTAAGAGTTTTCTCTCCTTTTCCTTGAGTTTTCTCTAAGGAATGAAAGTTAGGGTTTTGAGAAAATTTGAGTTTTCTTTGAGATAAGTCTAGTGAGGGATGAGGGGATGTTTTTAAATCTAAGAATGAGTTGTTTTCATGAAAAATGTGAATTTTGGAAATTAGGGTTTCACTCAAAGTTTTTTTTTTTTGAGATGCCTTCACAAAAGTAGTTCCTAATGGCATAAGAAAGTCTCTAATTGAAAAATAATGCAAGGTTGATGAAAATTTTAGGTTTTAAAATTTAGGGTTTTTTCCCTAATCAAGGAATTTTTTTATCCTTATGGTTCCAATTGATTTTTGGAAGAATTTTAGAGACTAATTTAGGGCTTTTACATGAAATACGAGTTTTTCATAATTTTGGTTTAATTTAATCCGAAAATTAGTTATATTTTAATTACTATTTGATTGTAGGGAGGATGTTTGCGTGTATAAAATCTAATATTTTGAATAAATCCTATTTGAGAGAGAATGAGAATAAGAGATGTCATGAAATGGTGGGATGAGTTTGAATTGAAAACATAGACATGATATAAGGTTGATTTCGTTATTAACATAGATTAAGGATTTAGGAAGTTATGTGGGGACTAGTTATACTTACACATTGTGTATGTCTCTTTTAGATATTGAACGTGTGAAGGGAAGGGTTTGATTGGACAACCGGAAGTGGTGCACAAGTTGAGGTAGGTGAAATGAACCTCTTTTAAATTTAGAAAGTCTTTTTACATGCAAATACATAGAAATGACATTTCTTCTTTTTATGCTCTTTATGGTATTATTATGACTAGCATGTTTCCTTAAATAAGCTTATGATCTCTTAATGCAAATATAAAGTCCTTTCTATGCAATATTAGAGCTCTTGAATGAATCTCATGCTTATTTCTTTATATATACTATACATGTCTTCCTTTTACATGCAAGTAAACATATGAGCATAACAAACATGTATATCCTTAAGAAAATATACACTTGAATAATTTACATAAGCCTCTCTTATGAATATGTAAGTATTATGTGCATGTGCATGTTGACTCGAAAGTATCAAATGATAAAAAAGCCCTTTTGAGCAATGATAAAGGAGGCTCTTATGAGCCAAATGGTAAATGAGATTTTTTGAACCAAATGGTAAAGGAAGGACCAATGTTATATACCTGATCAGTACAAGTGATACTTCCGAGATGGGTGTTATATATTAAGATATTATGAATATTGCATAATATGGGTGTCACAACTCAATAGGTATAAATGACATTCAAATAAATTTAGGTTCAAGAGAAGAAAATTACATGCTTTAATATCTTAATAAAAGAATAATCAATATATTATCATATTTGTTTAAGGAGATATATGTTCTTAATACAACTTTTAAGTTCTTATTCATTTCATAATCTTTCCAATTTTCTTTTTAAAACATTCATGCCTCAAATGCATATAACATAAATATGCAATGTTCATAATATCTTAATATATATTTATATAACACCCGTCTCGAAAGTATCACTTGTACTGATTATGTATATAAAATTGGTCATTCATTTATCATTTGGTTCAAAAGAATCTTCTTTACCATTTGGCTCATAAGAGCCTATTTTACTATTGCTCAAAAGAGCTTCTTTATCAATTGATACTTCCGCGTTAACATGCACATGCACATAATACTTACATATTCATAAGAGAGGCTTAAGTAAACTATTCAAGTGTATGTTTTCATAAGGATATATATGTTTGCTATGCTCATATGTTTATTTGCATGTAATGAGAAGACATGTGCTGTACATGTAAAGAAAGAAGCATGAGATTCATTCAATAAGTTATAAAACTGCATAAAAATGACTTTACTCTTACATCAAGTGATCATAAGCTTAAATAAGGAAACATGTTACTCATAATAATATCATAAATAACATAAAAAGGAAAATATCATTTCTATGTATTTGTATGTAAAAAGATTTTCTAAATTTAAAAGAAGTTCATTTCACCTACCTCAACTTGTGCAACACTTCCGGTTGTCCAATCAAATCCTTTCCTCCACATGTTCAATATCTAAAAGAGACATACACAATGTATAAGTATAACTAGTTTCCACAGAACTTCCTAAATCCTTAATCTATATTAATAAGGAACTCAATCTTATATCATGTTTATATCTTCAATTCAAATTCATCCCAACATTTCATGACATCTCTCATTCTCATTATCTCTCAATTAGGATTTAGTTAAAATCTTAGATTTTCTGCATGCAACATCTCTTTCTCCACTCAAAATATAATTAAAATAAAGTTAATTTTCGGATTAAATTAAACCAAAATTTAGAAAAACTTGTATTTCATGTTAAAATCTTAAATTAGTCTATAAAATCCTTCCAAAAATCAATTGGAATCATAAGGATAAAAAATTCTTTGATTAGAAAAAAATCCTAAATTCTAAAACTTAAAATTTTCATTAACCTTGTATTATTTTTCAATTAAAGACTTTCTTATGCCATTAGGAACTAAGGCATCTAAAAAAAAAAAAAACTGTGAGTGAAATCCTAATTTTCAAAATTCACATTTTTCATGAAAACAACTCATTCTTATGTTTAAAAACATCCCCTCACCCTTCACTAGACTTATCTCAAAGAAAACTCAAGTTTTCTCAAAACCCTAATTTTCATTCCTTAGAGAAAACTCAAGGAAAAGGAGAGAAAACTCTTGGAAATCACTTACATTAGCTTTCCCTTAGTTTTTCCTACAAGCTTATCCACGAACGGTTGTCGGAAATCGCTCCCAAGCTCTACCGTCGCCGCTCCTACCCGATGCCTTCTCCTCTCCGCTCAGTTCGGGCCGCAAGAAACGAATGGGGGACCGAAATATTTCGATCCCCTATTTAGAATGAAATGCCTTTATTTTAACTGTCTAATTACCTAAAAGCCCTTAATTAAGCTCTTCTCTATTCAAATGACATCAAGGGCAAAGTTGTCATAAATGGATTTCTAAAAATTTTAACTTCCAAAATACTTAAAATTCGATATAGGTTCTATACATCAATTTGCTCAGAATTTTACGCAATATTTTATAAAATTTATTGCGTCGAATTCTGACAACTTTAAAATTTTCACTTAAAACTCGTCGTGACGCATCGAAAAGCGTGCGAGGTTTAAAACGGAATTTTTACGGGTTTTACAATTCTCCCTCTCTTATAAAAATTTCATCATCGAAATTTAAAACAAGCTTAAGAAATCATACCTTAGTCAAAAAGATGCTTGTAGCTTTCTCTCACTCTGATTCCTTCTCCCATGTAGCATCTTTCTTAGATCCATCCTTCCAAAGAAACTTAACATAAGGAATCTCTCTGCTTCGAAGCTGCTTAACATCATAATCTATGATCTGCTCAGGTTCATCTACAAATGTCAGATCTGGTTGGATATCTATTGATTAAGTACTGATCTTCTGAGCTTCATCTGAAATATATTTCCTCAAAGAAGAGATGTGGAATACATTATGTACTCCACTCATATGAGATGGCAAAACCAATCTGTAGGCCACACTTCCAACTCTCTCTGATATTTTAAATGGGCCAACATACCTTGGACTCAGTTTCCCCACTTTGCCAAATCTCTTTACACCTTTCATAGGACTAACTTTGAGGAATACAAACTCTCCAACATCAAACTCAACTGATCTATGTTTAGCATCATAGTACTTCTTCTGTCTATCTTGCACAGCCTTCAATCTGTCTCGGATCAGTCTTATCTTTTCAGTAGCATCATCTACTAAATCAGCTCCAATGATCTTTTTTTCTCCTGTCTTAGCCCAACATAAGGGAGTTCGATACTTTCTTCCATACAAAGCTTTATAAGGTGCCATACCTATACTTGCTTGGAAATTGTTATTATAAACAAATTCAATCAATGGTATGTGTATCTCCCATTTGCCACCAAAATCTAGTACACATAATCTGAGTAAATCCTCTAAGGTCTGAATAGTCCTTTCTGATTGACCATCTGTTTGAGAGTGAAAGGCTGTATTGAAAATAAGTCTAGTGCCCATTGCCTCTTGAACCTTCCTCCACAATCTAGAGGTGAATCTCCCATCTCTATCTGATACTATCGATCTTGGTATCTCATGAAGTCTAACAATCTCATTAACATAAACACTTGCCAACTTTTCAACAACATCAGATTGTTTGATAGGTAAAAAGTGTGCCGATTTGGCCAACCTATTTATTATCACACATATAGCATCATGATCACTTGTGGGCCTGGGTAAACCAACTACAAAATCCATAGCTATATCTTCCCACTTCCATTCCGATATAGGTAAAGGCTGCAATAAACCTCCTGGCTTTTGATGTTCTATCTTAACCATTTGGCAAACAGTACACTTAGCCACCACTTCTGCTACACTTCTCTTCATCCATGACTACCAAAAGTATTACTTCAAATCTTGGTACTACCTGGGTGAATGATATAACTTGAATAGTGAGCTTCTTGAAAAATGTTCTTCCTTAAATCTCCAACATCAGGAATACAAATTCTGCCTCTATACCGTAGTAGCTCATCCTCATTAAGCTCAAACTCCTCCACGTGACCTACCTTCACCATATTTAGGACTTTCTCAAACGCCTCGCACTTGCGAGCTAACCGGGCTGCGTTGTCAGACAACGCAGCCCTATATCCGGAGACCAATTAGAATGAGTCACGTCAGCAATACCGAGTGCGGTACTGAGCAGTACCGACGTGGCTCATTAGGGTTGGTCTCCGTGTGGTGATCGGCATCCGCACATAATAATTTCTCTTATTTTAGCATTCAAAATGAGTAAAAATAAATTCAACATCTTTTATAATATGTTTGTTTTAATCTACTAGCAACTAAATGAGCTGTTTTAATAAATTGCAAATTGCATGTTCCAGCTGCTAATGGTTATTCTTTTCGTGCATATTACTGCTACAGTGAATAAAGGGCTTGGAGATCATAAACTCAGAAGCTCTCCCTCTTCAACACAATCGAAGCCACCACCTTCTGATAAAATGTCGACCGGAAAGAGTGGATCTGCTAGGATACCAAGAGTACCGATCACTGCAGCTTATTATAGTGTTGCTTCCCTTCAGACTGCAACAAACAGCTTTAGCCAGGAATACCTTATTGGCGAAGGTTCTCTTGGTCGTGTTTATAGGGCAGAATTTTCCAATGCAAAGGTATTGAAAGTTCCATTGCTAATCTTTATTATCGGTGTTAATATTTGAAATGCGATTCTTGATTGATCATACGTTTTAGTTTATTTCAAATCACATTATCCTATTTCACCAAAAGGCTTTATCTCAAAGAAGTTGCTTTCCATTTTTTATTTGAGAAGCAATAGCCTGTACTAATAAGACTCGCTCGCTTATACAACGACAACAATATCAAGCCTTTGTCCCACTACGTAGGGTCGGCTACATGAATCCTTTTTCTCCATTTTGTCCTGTTAAAAGTCAAATTCTCGTTTAAATCTAATAAATAAAGATCATTTCTAATATTTTCTAACCAAGCCTTTTTAGGTCTACCTCTATCTTTCTTAACATAAGTCAAATCTAATACGTCTACTTTCCTAATCGGGTCATCGGAAGGCCGCCGTTTTATGTGACCAAACCGTCTAAGGAGACTCTCTCTAATCTTATCTTTCACTAGATCTACTCCAACCTTTTCACGTATGTTCTCATTTAGTCCTATCCCTAAGGGTAAAGCCACTCATCCTCTTGAGCTTCCTCATCTCTGCAACACTTAACTCAGTATTATGCTTCTCTTTTAATGGCCAACATTCGGCATAAAGCATTACAGGTCTCACCACCATCTTATAAATTTTCCCTTAAATTTGAGGGGGACTTTTCTATCACACAGCAAGCCCGATGCATTCCTCCACTTCAACCATCCAACTTGAATTCTGTTGATAATATCTCGATCTATTTCACCATCACTCTGAACAATAGATCCAATATATCTAAAATGTGTACTCTTATTAATGATTTGATCATTCATAGTCACAATCCCCTCACTAAGTCTATTACTACTAAAATTAAATTCCATATATTCAGTTTTAGATATACTCAAGCGAAAACCTTTAGACTCTAAGGTTGACCTCCATAATTCAAGTTTACCTTGAACTCCCTCTCTATTCTTATCAACAATAAGACTCACTCGCTCATAGAACAATCAAAATCATAATTAAGGCTGCAGAATCAGTTCTTTTAAGAATTCTGTATAACCTCTGCTTGATTTTGTTGAACTGAGTTGTATAGATATTTGTGCTATGGTAAACCTAGCAAGCAAAATTTGATATTTCAGATCAACTTTTGATTAATGCTTCGTTGGGGACAGCTTTTAGTCATTGTTATTTTGCTGCTTTCAGATTTTTTGTGCTAAAAAGTTGTTTTAGAAAGCAATAAGAAAGCTGTTAGCTTCTAGGCAAGCAGTTCTTGCAAAGCACTCATGAGACAAAGTTTTTTAATCTTTCTCCTTAAGTTTATATATTTTGTCTAGCATAGTAAGAAGCCCTCGCTGAACTAATTTTATTCTTGTCTAGATTTTTGCTGTCAAGAAGCTGGATAGTGCAGCATTGTTCTTGCGAGACGAAGAAGAATTTCTTGAGGCTGTTTCGAACATATCACATTTGAGACACCCCAACATCACAGCTCTAGTTGGATATTGTGCTGAACACGGTCAACACCTTTTGGTGTATGAACACATTTCAAATGGAGCATTGCATGACATGCTGCATTTCTCTGATGATAGCAGAACTCTTAGCTGGAATGTTCGTGTAAAAGTTGCACTTGGCACTGCCAGAGCTCTAGAGTAAGCTTAAATTTGCGATAGCTTTCTGTACACTAAAGATCATTTTGTATCACTGTGTTTGGAAGTGTTGGATCTCAGTTCTCGAAGTTGGTTGTGTTGAAGTGAGTTGTAGAGATATTTGTTTATTTTGCACAAACTCATTTCTTGTATGCTTGCTTCCTATGCGGGGTGTGATAAGGATTAAGAAATACTTGAGTTTGCAAGCAAACCTAACAATAATCGGTAAAACAACGAGAAAACCGAAGAAAATATGGTGGAAGAACAATCAAACAATAGATAATCTTATAGAAAGCAAAGCGAAACTAGAACGAAGCAAAGATATAATAGATCCTCAATTCGAGAGGAGGATCGTCTCTCCCATATCTCTTGACAAGAGAGTCTAGAGCCAAAGCCGCCAACAAATCCTAATTGAGAACAAATCAAAACATAATCCTTCCTTAAACATCTCTTGCTCTTAATACAAAAACTTTCCTAATCTAATTTCACTCCCAAGACCTAGCCGCCCCCTCCTTTTCAATTTGTATTCACTTGGACTAGTGAGGCCCTCAATGTGGGCGGGCAATATCCATGGAGGCGGACAAGTTCCGCCTCCTGTAATAAAGCAAGGTCCGGCTGGGCCGGTTCAGGGTGAACCGGCTTAACAGGGTGACTATACAAAAATCCACCACCAATCTTATATGAAAATTGCATGTTTGGGTCAATACATATAAGATTCAGGTTGTGTTTGGATCGTTTAGTGATCCCAAAAAAATTTCAACCAAACATTTATGTAAATGAGATCCAAACACTTTCAGATACTTACAGTGAAACAAGATGCCTACTTTTCATGCTGTTCATTATCTATCATTGTGTCTAAAAAATTCCTCAGGTACCTGCATGAAGTATGCTCACCATCTGTTGTACATAAAAGTTTGAAATCTGCAAACATTTTACTGGATGAAGATCTCAATCCACACTTATCAGACTGTGGACTAGCAGCATTAACTCACAATACTGAAAGACAGGCATTTTCCTACCCGAGCCATACTAAATTGCTGATGCATGCGCACATTCATTTTAATACTGTATATATAGATTTTAGAAATATCAGATGGTTCTGAAAGCACTCTTTCTGATACAATTCACAGCTTTCGACGGAGATGATGCCTTCATTCGGTTATAGTGCTCCTGAATTTGCAATGTCTGGAGTTTACACTATAAAGAGTGATGTTTATAGCTTTGGTGTGGTGATGTTAGAGCTATTAACTGGTCGAAAACCACTGGACAGGTATACATTTGCACCTTTGCTTTGGACTTTCTTCATTCATTTCAACTTTTTTGATCTTTGTATGATTATTGTTTCGTGTTTGACCCTTCAGTGCTAGAGTTAGATCTGAGCAGTCTCTGGTAAGATGGGCTACACCGCAACTTCATGACATCGACGCTTTGGCGAAAATGGTTGATCCTGCTCTCAATGGAATATATCCGGCGAAGTCACTCTCTCGCTTTGCTGATATCATTGCTTTGTGTGTTCAGGTAGCTCTTTCATTGTTGAATTCTATTTCTTGACCTCCAAATTCCATCATGCAGGATTATTGAATGATTTAGGCTTTGTTTTGGACAGCTTCCATACTGCTTGTTAAAACAGTTTTTTAGTTAAAAAATTTTAATTTTTATACTTGAAAGTTGCTTCTTAAATAATAAGAAAGCCGTCACAAACACAGCCTTAGTTGTTGCACCTGAGGCGGATTTGTGAATTCTTTATCAGAAGTGTTCAATTATTTTCATTAATGTAGCCTGAACCCGAATTCCGACCGCCGATGTCTGAAGTTGTTCAAGCTTTGGTCCGGCTCATGCAGAGAACAAGTTTGGTCAGGAGGAGCTCAACTGATGAGTTGGGATTCTCATACAGGATTCCAGAGCATGAAGCCACTTCTGATATGTTCTTGTAGGGAATTTTATGGTTTTGAAGTACACATATGCGAATAAAGGAAGCACTGCCTCATTGCATTCCTGCCCCAAGGATCAATTGCAGTATTCCTGATACTATAAATCTGCACCATCTGATATGAAGAGTTCAGCTATTAACCCATTCTGTAAAAGCTTTTCATTTTCTGTTTTCATTAGAGATTAATTCGTCTGTACTACAGATGCCTATATATATTAATATTTTTGAATGAATCGGCAATGGATGGCATGAGTAAATGAAGAGATTTTTTGAGTTTGTGCTGTATAATCAAATCTTGGGGGAACCAACAGGTGTTTTTTCTATTTGTGATGCTTTGATAACTCAAATTTCCAGTATAAGGTAACATGATGAACGGCTCTATTTCTAATGTTTTAATAACTCAAATTACTCTCAGGCAGACTGTTTGTCCTGGCTTCTGATAAGAACAATTTACAAGCTACTGTGATTATAGCTTAAATCGGCTCATAGCTCCACTTCTCTGCTCCAAACTGTTATTACTTCTCAGCGTTGCTATCTATTCTACCATTGTACCTTCTATTCTACCTTATGTTTTGAGCCAATATTCAAGCCGTGAAATATGGCTCACCATTGAACGATGATAACAGTACACGAATAGTTCTGTATAATATAACTGGAGAATGAGCTTCATCAGATTCAACTCAAAGATAAGATCATGGTGCAATACTTATCTGAAACTAAACAAAAAGTAGATGTCTATCAGCTGCAGAGCCTACTACTGATGTTGGATACATCATTTTATACACTCTCACTGAATTACCCTCAACCTAAACTGTTGGCGTCGTCATGACACTTGGGCTTCGTTTGAGACGGCTTTTTTTCTGCTTCTTTAAGCAACTTTCTATTATAAATAATTTAATTTTTGTACTAAAAAACTGCTTTATACATTGCTTTAGACACTACATCTACTGCTGATTGGTTCCTGGATTCAGGTGCTACAGCTCATCTCACCTCAAATGTTTCCCAATTGTTAAACTCTCAACCATATACCAGACCTTCACAACTTCAAGTAGGAAATGGGCAGCTCCTTCCAATTGCTCAAACCGGTTAAGACATTCTTCCTACTCCATCTTGTAAGCTATATCTATCTAATGTTTTTCATGTTCCAAATCTTACTCACAATCTTTTTGTGAAACCCTTTTAGTAAAAAAAAGCTAAACTCTTAAGCATCAAGATGTCTTTTGGTGTAATGTTTGAAATTTCATTATGAAACTTTGCAATTAAGTGTGTTCATCCCGAAGAAATCCTGGCTTAAGTAGGGCTGTCAAAATCGAGTCACAGGTCGGGTTAGGATCCAACTCGGAACTGACTCGACACTTGACCCGACCCGAACCCAAACAATTTTTGCAAACGGGTCAATTTTTCAGAACCGAACCTGACCCATTTCGGGTCCGGGTCAACCAAAAACCCGACCCATTTCGTATATGTTTTACTAAATTTTTTTTATTTAATTATATTTTTTTAAAATCTAAATCGAATTAAGGTAAGAATTACTTCAATCAATTTAAAATAAACTAAGCTTAATTTAGTTTGGGTAACATGTTTTATTATTTTTAGAAATAACATTTAATTATTTCATAAAAATCTTTTAAAACTCTCCTAAATCTATTAAAAACGGGTCAAACCAGTTTGATTTTGGTTTTTCAGGTCTACTCGAATCCGACCCAATTTTACAAAAGGATCGAAATTCCTAACATGAACCCAACCCGGTTCAGGTTCGGGTCGGATTTTTGACTCGTGTCAAATTTTGACACCCCTATGGGTAAGTCATCATTCTTATCATATGATATGATCACCCTACTAGTTATTGCCATCACTTGGATTGTTATCATCATTAACACCTTCACGATTCTTGGGCAATGAATTTCGTAACCTTTGTATTATCTTGCTCGTGATTTAATGATGCCACAACGATTTGTTAGATGGAATTAGGCAAGTTATGGCCCAACTTGTCACTTCACTACCAATGGTGTTTATTGGGTGATGCTCAAAGACTTCTCCTTTTGATCTTTCTCATTTTTTTTGGTCGAATGATCATGATTATCTTCCATTATGTGAGTTGTGCTAAGTTTGATTCAGAAGATAAATTAAACTTTTGACTTTAAGCTTATGCATGCATAGATAAATTATTTTTTGTTGCTTTCTTCGGAAGGCTCTTATAAATTTGAATGTATTGATTTAGTCCAACTTTGACATAATATGCTTTCTTTGGTATTTATAGTTTTGAATATAGGAGTGTCAAAAATTGATACCACTCGAAACTCGACCTGAAAAAATCTGAGTTCGGATCAACTCGTTTGTAAAATGGGTCGGGTCTGGGTTTTTGGATTTTTGACCTTTATGAAAAAACAGATTGGGTTCAGGTTGACCCTAAAACCCATGGGTCGACCTGGCTAACCCAGCTAACTTGCAACCTTGACCTTCAGCCTACGGCAGGACCTGCCTCCATGAGTGCGACTGCACCCCAGCCTACCTTGTGGTTAACTACTAATTGCCTGGCGTGCCCGCATCCCGACTCCTCTGGCCGACTACATGACCTGCCTCCGCCAGGAGCCAAGCTGCCTCACTCCGAGTCCTCCGTGACTCTGCCAGCCTCAACCTCTCCTCGCCGAGGTCCTTCGTGCTTAGCCCAATCGCCATTCGCTCAAGACGCGTCGACGCCCAAGCCCTAAATGTCACGTCTCAACAACTACACATACAGGTTTGGGGGTCGGGTTAGGTCAACCCGTCAACCCGTGTGGGTCGGGTCCGGGTTAGAAATCCTGAGCTTATTAGCTAAAAGGATTGGATTCGAGTGAACTCATTTATGCCTGGGTCAAATCAGATTTGACCTTAAACCGACCTATTGACCCAAATTGACACCCTACTTGAATACATGGTTGAATTTCAACTCTCATATATTATAAAATAACCATTTCATTCCCACCGTACATTGGTAATGGTTTGCATTAAACAAAAAAAGGGTAAATTTTTAAAATAATTATCATTATTAATTTAATTAGGTATTAAATCACCAAAAAATATAAATTTAAAAACTTGGTTTTTGCTCGGTATTGCTAGGTATTATTTGATAATAACGAGGAATATCATCATGTGAAGACCAATACCGAGTTATACCGAGCTGTACCGAGCAGTACCAAGCAATACAAAAAAATACCGAGTTCTTTCTAGGAAAAACTAGGTTATAATTTTACTAAAAATTACGTTATATTTATTAAACTTACATTTAGGACTTATTTATTAAAAAATATGAAAAAAAAATATTTACATTTAACATTTAAATAAAAAAAATTTATGATGCAACTCCTAACATATATGAATATCTCTCATATTTTACTTCTCATATACTTTTTTTTGTTAATTTCTCTCTTCTATATTACCTCTCTTGAAATCTTTTTTTAATATTTTTGGAACTTGGGCAAGTGGCCGGTGGCTCATTCAATGGAATTTTTATTGTCTCAGGTTACCTGATATAGAGATACATCAGGTAGCTTATAATATATCGTCACGTGCTCTTACTCTTTACCCCGCGGCCCGACGACCCGACCCGAAACGAATATGCTCGGTATTGCTAGGTTATAAATTTAATTTTTTATTGATTTAATTGCTAATTATATTATTAACAGTAATTATTTTAAAAAATTGCCCAAAAAAAAAAAAACCATTCCTAAATCGAAGGCCCAAGGGCTGTATCAATCTGAACTAGAAGTGAGCAGTCTATCGACTGGAATCGGAGCAGAGGAATCGAAGCGTCAAAATGGCATCGATCTGCCGCTCTGCCGTAATGGCCGCCGCGAGGTCTGTTCCCATCCGATCCAAAGCTGTTTTCCCCAAAACCTCGCCTTCGAGGAGAACTGCAATTTTCTGCAGGTGAGATGACAGAAATCCAAGCCATTTTACCCCTTCATCTTCTTCGCGTGCCCTAGGGTTTGATGACAATTTTCGTTTCTTTCAGGCCTCTCGTTCCGGCTTTGGGAGGCGTGTATTCACTTATCCCTCTCCACAGCGCCATCGCTTCTGCCCGTCTAATATCCAACATAGCGGTGGATACATCCTGCTGGAGCTGGGTTTCTCAAGGTGAGTTAGTTTATGGCATTCTTAGTGAACATTTAAAAAAAAAAAAGAAACAGTTCACTGATAGCCTTATTCTGAATGAAGAGCATGAGAATGCCAATTTTTGCTTTGGAAACATAATACAAATATATATATAATGAGATTCCAGTGAGAAGCTTTAGGTGTGTTTCTGGTGAGGAAATAGTAGAGATTTTCCTATTAGATATATTGATATGGAATTCTATTCTTCCTATTGGTGCATGCCACAATAATTTAATAGGAGAGCAATTTAGACTAAGAGATTACTCGGCTGTAGTATTCAAAACACGTGCTTCATGACGATATCATGTACAAGCATTTATACCACTATTTTGCATTGTGCATGAGACATGATTGTTGGGGTGGATGGTAAACTTTATTTAAGTCCCATGGTTCCATTTCAATGACTTTATTGGTTGGGGGCTTGTTCAAAGAGTCAAAAGAGCCTTGAACATGGCAATTTATATTGAAGTCATAAACTTGTGTGACTTGCGTGCTAAAAATATGAGAATTATGCCAAGGAGCTTATTGTGAACACTACTACTCCACTAAGTTTGTTGTGGTTTTTGGTGTTTTTATTTAGAGTGAGCTTGGGATGTGACTACTGGGTGTATTGTAAGTGTTTAGGGCTTCATCCGAGTCAATTCCATTAGGATTGGCGGAGTTCTTATGTCATGGAGAAATGATCACTGTGAGAGTTAGCTTGAGAACAATTCCCTTTTATGTTACACCAATGCCCATGGATGCGTTTTGGTGTAGATGATATTGTATTATTGCTTGAGTTTTAAGCCAATGTAGGTTTTTTTAACCCCTTGAAGTGGATGCTGATGTAAACTGCACATCAGCCCTTAAGGTTAAAATTGAACCTAATTTTATATCATTCCTTTCATTGGGAGATGACTTTGATTTTGTATTCCTCGTTAGGGTGAAAGCCGATGTTGATGCATTAGCATCACCTTGGATGAGGTGTAGGCCATCCTTTGTGCTAGTTTCTAAACTTTCTCAACTTGATTTGTGAAGTGTTTGGTGCCTTGACATACTTATCTAGGCGAATGGTTTTCTCAACACATTTTTTGAAGTGTTGAATTTTTTTTTCCATATTTTAAATAAACCTCATTTTTAAATTTTGTAAATCTTATGAAGCTATGATAAATTTGTAGTTTACAAATAGTCTTAGACTCTTAGTACAATTTTGTAATTATAAATATATCATTTATGGTGCATTTTGTAATTTCCAAGTTTTTTACGATGATTTAGCACCTCTAAGGACAAGTTTGAAGATTTTTGCTTCGATTTGGCCTCCATATGAAAACCATGGGTAGGATGGGTGTGGAAGATGATGGACACCCCATTGTTGTGCCATGTGTTATCATGGAGAGACCATAATGGACAATCCCAGTGTCACACTTGAGTTATTTATTTTTAAGCATAGAGATGAGGTTGGGTCACCAATTGACTTTTTAACTCCAGGTTGCTCTCAGATGTTGACCTATCTAGTGTGGATCTTGAGGCTTTTTGAATTAATTTTAAAATGAATTTTGTGGGATCCTCGTTTGTTTGTTGGCTATTTATCATCTTTATCCTATGGGGTTGGGCTGGCATGGCTTATCTTTTACCTCAATTTAAAACAAGCAGTATGATGAAGGTGAGGTTAATGAAAAGATCTATAAGATTTCTATAGATTGATGACATCCAATGGGCCCTTGGAAGCACTGATAAACAACATGACAAATTCGTTGACGGAAGAGAAAATTGGGAGGGACTGCTCTATTCAGAAACAATAAAGAGCAATGATGTAACAATTGCAAATTTGGTCATTTTTTATGAGGTGCAAAGGAAATCTGATAACTTGTCTATGTTCTTCGCATGCCCTATTATGAGAAACTTTTTAGGCTGCTTATGAGTGTGGGGGGGGCTTGGGGTGGCTAGCTATTATGGTGGTGTGGTTATGGTAGCTCTATAATTGTGACATCATCGGGTGCTAACATGTGAAGGAAGCATTAGGAGATGTGGTTGTTTTATGACTTTACCGTGCCCCTGTCTCTGTTGAGGATATCAATACCTAGTTAAGGGTAAGGCCTAATGGATTAAGCTGGCCGAATTTAACCAATTTACCTTTTTTTTCACTTTAAAAAATTCATATTATCATTATCATTAGCTTTGTCTTAACTCTTAAATCATGCTTTAAAAAGGTGAGTGAAGTGCTTGCCTTGAGTCACCTAGTAAGTACCTTATGGCATGTTGTGTCTTACTTTCCAAGATATGTAATATCTCCGTGTCGGTGTCATTTTTGTGTCTCATGTTGATATAAGTGCTTCATAGTTATTCATTACAATCTAACTGAACTTTTTTTTTTGGTATGTTGAGTTCTTCGGTATTATTATTTGAATATTCTCTATTTTTAATCTCTACCGTTTGTTTTAACAAATATATGAATAATGAGAACTCAAAGAAACATGGAAGAATGATTAATAAGAGTACTAATGTAATAACGAACAATAGCTTACCTTGCATTTTGAGTATCATTTATGTGTATCTTTTGGTCTATCAGGAAATTTATGTTCTTTTTACGGCTTGCCCTGTTTAAAAATTCTAAATGACTAGCCAGTTTTGTTCTCTTGGACTTAACTATCGTAACTGTTGTTATCTACTTGGAATATAGGACTTGCTTCACCTTCCTGATCAAGTTATGATGACTTTGTGTGGAGCAACATATTTCTGGAGTTTGTGAGCCACTGTTAGATGAAACATTTAGCTTTGAAGCATTTAGTTGTATCAAGCAGTAAAATATTATGTCATTCAGTAGCAAATTTTGGCTCTTAAGTGATTTTTTTTTTTTGTGAAATTTACACTTTCATAGTGGGATTTTCTTTAATTTGATGAATGCAGTCTCGTATTGAATTTTGTTCTGTTGTATATGCAGACTATTTGTTTATAAAAAAAAAAAACGTTTGAAAGGAAAAGATTTTGATTTCTTCCTACCGGAAATAGTCTATGCCTGCTATAAGTTTCAATGTGAACTTGGAATGCTTATTTGTTCTATTATGGGCTTCTCATGTCTCTGTCATCATTCATCTATTTGAAGAGATATCCTATGTTATGACCTTCGATTATGGTGACATTTTAATGGCTTTGCTTTTGAAACACATGACTTTTGATGTGTAAAAATCACTTTCTTCAAGACCCTCGTGGTTTCAATTTCACATTAGAACTATGGTTAAGCTAATTAAGCCAGCTGCATTGTGCATGAATTCTAATATGAAATCTATGAACATGTAAATCTTCTCCTCGAGTTTTTTTTTTTTAATTGGGAGGGGTGGAGTGGGGTACATCCTAAGGTAGGAGACTGGTTTCCTTAAAGTTCACTATTGACTATTGAGAGAAAATGAGATTTTCCTATGCTATTGACTAAATACGTTAGAGCTATAAATATACATATAATAATATATAATAAAGAAACAAATACTAGGAAAAATATCCCAAATTATTAGGATATTAAAAATATAGTAATTTTCCAATATTATGAGTCATACCTATTTAACCTTTATTATTTTATATGTCAACACTCATAAAGCTAGAGCATATATATCTATTAGCTTCAGCTTATTACTATGCAAAAAAAAAGTACAGGTGTTTTAAAGGTTTGATAAAAATATCCATAGCTTGTTCTTGATTGTAGACATAAAGAGCAACAATTTTCTTGGAAAACACATTATATCATTGTTGCGGGCTAGAATATAAGCGGCGATAGAGTTAGAATTTTATCGTCTCAGCGTTATACGAATATCCATCACACAAACAGAAGAAAAATAAAAACACCAGGATTTTTACGTGGAAACCCTGGAAAGGGAAAAAACCACGGGGTCACGCCCAGTTGAGAGAATTCCACTAGTGTTTACTTGAGGTACAAGAGGCTGACTCGTCCTTAAAATTTAGGACAATCAGATTACAATGATCCAATCCCGGATTGAAATATAGTTACAAACAAGAATTTGAGATTCGATGATGTTGTGTATTCGAGCTGAATCCTAGAGTCACTTGTAGATCAGACAGAATTCCGGCGTCACTTGGAAGTCAGAATTCCGGCGTCACTTGGAAGTCAGAATTCCGGCATCACTTGGAAGTCAAGTGGAACTCTGACGTCACTTGAAAGTCGGACGGAACTCTGGCATCACTTGAACGTCGGGCGGAACTCCGACTTCACTTGAAAGTCGGGCGGAACTCCGGCGTCACTTGATCGTCGGGCGGAACTCCGGCGGTGATCGAGGATGAGCTTTTCCCTCCTCTTCTCTTCTCTTCTTGCTTGGGTCCCCTCTTAAGAGAAATGAGGGGCTATTTATAGTTTTCTGAGAGTGGAATGACTCGTAAATAGGGGGAGGATTAAGGGCAAATGTGGAGTGGTTTAGATGGACGGCCGATATTGAATCCCTTGATTGTGGATCGTTTGTTATACATTTGAGGATCTTAATGATATCGAAATTCGGCGATCTTGTGCTCGTTGGATTCGTCTCGTCGAGCCGCTCAATTCGACTATAAGCATGTCATGTTTTGAAACCGTTTGGTAATCCAAATTGTGGTTTAAACCTTCCAACAGCGGTTCGGGTCTTCGATTCAGACCCATTTGGGCTCGGATTGAGTTGAATTTGGTGTTGTTGGGTTCATATTTCTGAGATGATTAGTTTGACTGTAAGTTTGCTAAAATCGGAGTTCAAATAATCCCAGATTTAATTTTTGAAGTTTCCAACTTGATTTTTGCCTTGAGATTCGTGTCCGATCAAGATAGTTTTTTTGATGATATATCAATCATATAAAATATCAATCTTCTTTAATATATTTGGTTTGGGTTTTCAAAATAGGATTGTTGTCAAAATTGATTGCTGTAATATATAGTTATATGTTGAGTATTAAGAAAATCAAACTCTTTTAAAAGAGTTTTAACACATTATTTCACATATTGATAAGTCACCTATTTGTATTCAAATTTAATACTCGATCTGGCTACAACAATTTATTTTTGGTTTTTTCAAGTGAGCATATTTTCCCAAAAGGATATAATATCCTGAGGTTAACTTCCTGTCTTCTCTTTTCTTGGAGCCTTTTCATGTATTTGAGGATCCATAGATTAGTTCCCAAAGGCTTTTATCTTTTGAAATTTGCATGTCTTGACTCATCAATCCGATGATGAATGAGATGGCAAGCCCCTGGTAACAACTAGATTAACCAACTTGCCTACTATTGATATTGAGATGAATCATTAATGGATTCTTCATGATCATATGTGGCCCGAGTCTCCATAGAGGTATCAATGGGCTTGCAAGCAAGAATTCTCATTTCTTCAAGAAAATTTAAACCTTTTTTATTATAGTTAAATTCAGCTCTAAGAAAATACTTGGATCATTCTTGATATTTGGTGACAAATCACTTTTGTAAGTAGTATTCTACCTTTAGAGACTGTTGTGATTGTTGTTTTGGTAAGTAAAATGTAGTCAAAATGAAGTATGGCGAAGCTGCACAGGCAATAGAGTGATTTATATTGTTGTTGCGAGGACAAAAGTTAGCCAAGATTTTAAATATTTTGTCAAACCTAGCTTCCAGACTTAGATAAACGTTATAGGTAGGTTTTTCAAGTAGACATGTACAATTCTCCACCTGAGCAATATATCCAGGAGGTTGCTTCATATAAAATGCTTCTTGATATGATGGAAGGATTTACTTGCATCCATTTATATTTGAGAGCAATCTTGATTCATAGCCTCAAACAAAAGAAATATGACAGAATTTAGGTATCAGTAGGAAAATTTCTATGGGCTGTAGGTATCACTAAGTTCAAATGTTTTAAATTTCCTGTCAACATGATGTATATCCTAATTTCTAAAATTATTCTATTTTTCCTAGACAAAGGTCCTTAATGGTATCGCTAAGCTAGATAGGATTGAAATGAATGTTTCTAACCCTTGACATGCATATATATATAAACATGCACAATCACACTCAAGTCATTAAATCTAGGAGAGCTTAAGCTAAGTGCAATTATGTGCATCTTAAGCATACAAAAATTAAGAACTAATTTATATAAGAAATAGTTTGATTAGTGAATGGTTGGAGCACAACGATTCACTAATCATCTCCCATGATTTCTATTCATGTAAACTCAAGCAAAGTTTAAAATTTTAAAGGATAACTCAAGCTTTCACAACTTAATATATATAAATTCAAAATTAATTTTAATCTTTAGATAATAGAATAATTTAGGACTTTCTAGGAAATTTAGGATAATTCAAAGAATTTGAAAGTAAATCCAAAATAATTTCAAAATAGTTTTAAAACAATTTTGGAAAATATTTTGTAATTTAAAAATAGTTTGGGGTTTAGATTTTGGATTCATAAAAAATATTTAAGTTAGATTTAATTTATTATTAATTAAATATTTAAGTATTCAAATTAACTAAATTGATTAAGATGTTTAAAATATTATAATAAAGTTTTAATTTTAAAATAATTAGATCATATTTTTTGGTTTTATTAAAATAATATTAAATTTTTGATATTTTGAAAATATTTGATTATTATTAAGGGGGTTGGATATATAGTTAAATTTAACTAAATATTCCTTTAATAAAATTTAATTTCAAATTAAGTTATTTTAAAATAATTCTTTATATATAAAAAAACTTTCATTTTT